TTCACAGTGGGTGAGACCCTGTGCTCACAGCATGTGCAGCCAGTGTTCATGGTGAAGCATGTGGCTCAGTAGTCGTGTCAATATGGCCCAGTGCTCATGATGAATGTGGCCCAGTGCTCATAGTGGGTGTGGCCCACGATGCTCCAGATGGGTATGGCCCAGAGCTCATAGACAGATGTGATCTAGTGCCCATGGGAGTACGGTTTAGTGCTCATGGTGGGTGTGGCTCAGTACTTGTTTGAGGTGGGTGAGGCCCAGTTCTCACCCAGGTGGAGTATTTGACAGGGCATTGAAAAGCATTTCCAGTCTTTGCTCTTGGACGGGAATGGAGGCAGAGCAGACCAAGGCTGACCTTGGGGATGGAGAGTTCCCCAATCTCCCGTCTTGGGCAAGACTGAGCTGAAATCACTGGGTAGAAGTTTGCAAAAATCCTCACTAAGGACAACACTCTACCAGCATGCCCCTGGGGGTTTCAGGTTTGGGCAGGTCACCCTGAAAGCTGCCAACCCCACTATCAGCTACAAAGGCCTCAGGGATGCAAGACCTCACTAAGGCTTGGCTGTCCTTTCTTGCCTTCGCTTCCTACAGCCTCCAGTTTCCTGATGTTCCCACCCTCGGGACAAACACGTGTGGAGAGAGATGCCAGGTCTATGCAGAAGCAGGGCTGAGAGGAGATGGGAAAGATTGCTGGGCTAGGCAGTGGGGCTGAGTGCTGACCTTGAGTCAGGGCTGGGCTGGAGGATCTTCTGTCCTTATGGTCCCACCTCCTCTCAGACCCCTGTCCCCAGGCCTCAACTACCCCGGGCTAATAGTCATAGTCCCTAAGCTGAACAACCCTATTCCTGCCACTCTGGGTGGGAGTTCATTCCTGCCAGCCACATTATTTAGAGGCGTTGTAGTGCCCAGCAGCCCCAGCCTGATGCAGGGCCCTGCCGAGGAAGAGGTGTGTGCAGAAGGGTCCAAGCAGAGGCACAAATGTCTGCACTGTGGTCACATTTTCTTCACCTCAGCTAACTGCAGGCACAATTGGTGGTCTGGCTTCCTACCACGTGGGTGGCCCTGTTCTTGAGAGCATCCCTCACATGTGCCCCTGTGCCACAGGGCCGCGGCAGGGCTCCTGTTCAGTGGCACCTTATGGGGTTCTTCTCAGAGCTCCTGCACCACTGTGCATTCTGGAGAGTGGCCACCACCAGCTCAGCCTCCCCAGTGATAAGATACACATTCCATCCTCAAATTGCCCTCAGGTCATTAGCACAAGACAAATGCTACCCTTCCAGGGCCAGGGCAGTGCTGTTAGCATGGAACTTACTGAAGGAAAAGCCAGAGGCTTCTCGTACCCAATCCCATCTGCCTGCATCCCAGTGCTCAGTTTTGAAGCAAAGCTCTGGTGTGAAAAGAACATTTATTTTCACAGCCACCTGGCAAATGACCTGGGCTGGGTCGGCCAGAGCTTGGGGAGATGTCAGCTTCCTCCTCCACTTGCCTGTGGTGGAAACAAGAGGAGCCCCAGATTGCAACCCAGGGCCACTCAGGGACCCAGGCGGTGCACACGACCAGGCTTCCTTGGAGCTGCACTGCTGAGGCCTCCTTGCAGCCTTTGAAGAGTCCCTGCGGCAGCTGTGTCTCTGGCTGGACTGGGCGGCGTCATCAATGCGCAGCTACAGCTGGTTGAAGGGGACCAAATCCATCCAACAGCTGATTTGGTTCCATTTTACCAGCTTCAGCAAAGCATTTGGCTTCAGGTCCACCGGGAGGAGCTGCTCCAGGACGAAGGCGGCCTGTCAGGCTGGGCTCAGACCCCAGGCCCTCCTTTCTCCAAGAACCCGTGCAGACTCAAGGGCTTTGGGTTTGCAGGGACACACATACATTTAGACCCTCTCTGTGCCCCAGAACCTTGGGGAAGGCAGTTCTTTGTCCTTATGCCTTTGGTTGGGTCCCACAACCTCCATCTTACTTGTCACAGACCCACATATACCCCAGCGTTGCCCCGTGTCCTGTCTGGTCACTACTTTCTGGGATGCACCCAAGACCATTGAGCCTCTGACCCATGGACTCACATAAGCGTATTGAAGACTTCACAAGTTTTTACACTTGACCCTGCCTGCATCAGCCAGATGCACTTTCCCTAGGTCAAGGCAAGGCTATTTCTCTCGGTTAGCCATGGGCTCTGTGACTGGGCAGCCAGCCCTGGCTTGTAGTGACCTTGGAAGCAAGGGTAGCTCAGACACCATACATGACTTTGGGTGGGCAGGAGCTGGAATATTCCAGTGTAGCCTGGTTTTTGTGGTGTGAGAGATGACATAGGACAGAAGAGGCCCAGTGTCCTTGTCCTGGTCCTCTATCCCTATCAACCAATCACTTCACAGTTCTTACTCAGTGACTCAGAAGGTTCACACTCCCTTTAAGAAAACTGTTTTTTCCCAGTGACACTCATTCACCAGGAACAAGGATGTGAGGTGAGAGTATCCTCTGCAGCACAGGGAACATGATGTCGTGTGTGTGTGTGTGTGTGTGTGTGTGTGTGTGTGTGTGTGTGTGTATCCCCTCAGGGAATACAACTCATCTAAGAACTGTTGGGTAACCCCTACAACCTCAGCCTACACCAGACCCACTCCAGCCTGTGTTCAAGGTGGTCTTCTCCAAGCATCCCTGATGCATGACCTCCTCCAGAAAGATCCACTCAGGGAGTCCCTAGAGTCACGGGGGTAGGCCCTGCCTTTCAGCCGGCACAGATACAGAGGTCTTCCAGCCACTAGCCTCAAGCTCAGAACATGGCTCTCCGATCCTTGTTCCTAGTGCAGAGCAAACTCCAGGCTCCCAGCCCACCCCTAGAGGCCCTAATGAAAATGTTTCAGACTTTGCTGCTGGCCACATTCACCCCTTTATCTATGTTGTCAATATAGCTAATGGAGTGGAAGATTTGACAAGAGGTAGAATTAGCCCCAAGTCTGGCCCTGAGCCTTTAGCTACGATGCTGGGGACCAAGGAAGAGGACCACACGTACCATTGCCCTGATGTGTCATGTCCAATCTCACTCCAGTGCTACTCCACATACACAACCCTTGGGCACAATTTCATTTTGCCAAGGAGCAGGGTCACAGGAAGACAGAGCTGGCATTCTCCTTTACCCTGTGAAGGCCCTTATTTCTGTCCAGATATCACCAGATTAGAGGAATTTCTCCCAAATGAACAGATCTTTGGTTCCTTCCTAGACTGTCTCAGCACTCCTCAGATGGGCTCAGACTTAATGGGACATTAGGCCCCACTGTGGCCCCTGCCAGCCCTGGCTCAAGGACATGTGGGAAGCAAAGTGACAGGAGCTGAATATTTCAAGGACATGGGCCCTGAACTACTACTACACTTAGCAGCGTAGGGAGGAGAGTAAACACTGTCAGCCAGACTTCATGTCACTCACAGACACCAGAACCTCCACACACACCACAGACCAGCACGGTGTGTCCATACATGGCCTTAACCAAGAGTTGAGTCACCACCCAGAGCTAACATCTCTGTCATCCAACACAGCTGAAGTGCCACCAGCTCATGTCTACCTGCAGCTTGACACAACCATGTCATGCAGCTGGGGGACACCGAGCTGCATCCCCCAGTCACCACCCTGATCTGCCCACCCAGGATCTTCGCTCCCCTTACCCTGTATGGAATGCCTCCCAGTCATTCTGCTGAGTGAGTAGCCAACACACTGGTTTGTGGGTTTGAAGGGATCAGCCTGGGTCTCCTCAGACACCATGACACAGAAGCCTGTAGAGATGGCAACCTCCGTGTCTTGCCCCCATTGGTCACGGTGGACAGTTCTGCCCTTGATCTCAGCCTCCATTAGAAGCTGCCCAGGTCTCTGGGACTCCCTGAACTCCCTGTGGCTATTGTTTTCTTCTCTTTTGAACAACAACAAAAAGATGCTCACATCACACAGCTCCAAAACCTCCAGGACCTATGACATTCCCACAAGACTCACCTGCTCCTAGGTCTGGGCATTTACTTCACCCCAAAACTGCTGTACCCCATGCTGTCCTGCCCTCTTCCCACACTGTTATCTTTGTTCAGCTACCTTGCCCTCTCGGACACAAGACATGAGAAGTTTCACTGTAGTAAAGTACCGCTCTGCCGCGATGCACCCCTGCCCACCCTAGGAAGCAAGCCGGCTAGCAGGGGATGCTGAGCAGAGAGACACCAACCATGGCTGGCAAATGCAGCATTCGCTAGGACAGCAAGGTTGGTGCTGGAACCCGCAGGCATGGCTTTTTTGGGAATCCACTCTTTACTGGGTTTCCAAAGCAAACAGGACGGCCCTGTAGGTACTATGGTTTGCAAATTTTATGGACCAGTTAAAAAAAAGGGGGGGAGGGGCTTTAAAACGTCTGCTGATGGAGTCATCCCGTGTGGGAGAAGTATACTCAGCACTTTCAAGCAGCAACGGACACTAGACATGGGTGTCCGCTGCTGAAAACACCAGCAGCCCCGGTACAATCAATGGGAAATTAGATGCCATGAAAATGCAGTACACACTCAATTAGTTATAATTGGAGCAAAGAGCAATGGCGATGGAGCAGGGAGCACACTCACTGCCGGCAGTTCCCGGCACACAGGCCCGCCTCACTCTCGCCCCTTGAGGCTCCACAGACATTGAGCACAGCATCAGCTGCCACCTCACCAGGAAGCCCTCCTGCATCTGCCAGGGGCCCAGGATCCCCGTGGGGCGCTGCTGGGAGGTAGCACAGCAGCCTCTGGGAGCAGAAGCAGTCGCCAGTGAGCGCTCAGCAGGATCACTGTTGTCACTCAAGCTGTCTGTCCCCAGGCCTGACCTTTGAGACAGAGAATGACCTCCGACTCTGGAGTAGCACACTCCAAACTAGAGGGAATTGGGCGTTTCCCGGGCCTCTCTGGGGCTCAGTTTCTCAACGTGAAAAGTGTAGGGAGAAGTAAGGACCTGGATTTAAGACCCTGCGTCTGAGGGCCAGACTTTCCATGCCTGTCATAGTTCCCCGCTGTATGGCCGACAAGGACAGCGAGAGCATGCTCCTTCATCCAGCACCCTCAGTCTCACCCCAGGACACCAAGAACAATGACTGCTTTGGGCAGAAACTACACAGCCACCTTCAGGGAGGCGTGCTGCTTGCCCTAACACAGTGGGCATGATGAGTCCTTCAGGAGATTATAATACCAAACACTCCTGCTCAAGGACAACCAACACCTAGTCACATGTGTAGCCAGCCACTGCCCAGAGGCCACAGAGCAGGTTCAGCTGTACCTGTCGATAGAGTTCTCACAAAGTCTTAGGAGCCTGTCTGGGGACCTTGCATCCTCCTACGCCAACACAGCCAGCTGGACTAGCACAGGGCAGCACCCTAGCCCATGGCAGGTTTCTGACCCCCACTGTCCCCACTCCCACCTCAGGAGAATGTCGCCAACTCCCGCTCGGTGCTTTCTGTGAGCACCAATGACCTAACATTTCTCTACATAGTGACATTGCCCACTAGCAAGCAGATTTGCCACAAAATTAATATTCAACTCTGTATTGTGGCTCATCATTAAAATAGATAGCAAAGAATTACAGACACCCAGTGGGTCTGAGCAGCCCTGGCCAGGACTGCTTCTCAGGAACTTTCTGGAAGTTCTGTTTGGGGGTACCAAGTCCCGTGGGCAATCCCCAGAAAACGCCGTAACTGAAAAGCAGGAGGAACTCTTAGCCTACGAGCAGCACCATTTCTTTGTATCAGCAGTGCTGACTCAGCCAGACACCACCAAGACCCATTCAGCCCAAATCCATAACTTTTCTGTCTGTTCAAAAAATGTATTTTTTCTCAACACTGATAAAAGTTTAATACAGAGTTGCCTGGATTTTTAATAAACTTGTCAACAAAGGAGCATGGCAAATTGATGAGGCCCTTCCTGGAGATAAATTTCACCTGAAATAGACCCACGGAACAAGGGGGCAGGCAGAGGAGGCAGGGTGGGAGGGGACACACGATTGTTTTTGCTGTTCTTTGCAAAAATCAAAAGACAGATTTTTGTGTGTGTGTGTGCCTTATTAGCTCAAAGATAGGGCCATAGTAATCACTGAGTCTACTCAAGGAAAAAACTAGCTAAGAACTCAATCATGGAACTTGGAAGTCAGGGAGAATTTCTGTTCTGGAGGACTGATGTATCCCAAGAAGAGAAAAAAAAAGGTAGCTTGTCAAGAGTCTGGTTAGAGCCCCTGATATGGGCAGGACAGGTATGCCACATGAATATGCTGCACCCCATCTTCCTGCAGAGACAGACCCTGCAGCCACCAGGGCTCAGAGCCTGGGATTCAGACATGCTGTCAGATTACACATCAGGGGTCCTGTTCAGCCACCATGGGGTTTAGGATGCCATGGAAGGCCCAGGTAACGTACAACAATGACGCTGCTCTCTAACCTCTGTCGTGTTCTTAGTCTCCCTATGGCTTGAGAGGACTACCAGGATGCAGAGACATGGCAGGACAGGTTACTGTCTTCAGACATGAAAGGGGCACCCTGCGTTTGAGGGGTAACAGATGAACATTTTACCCCCTCATATAGGGACCTCATCTAGTGATGTTTGGAATCTCACCACTGGAAACTCACTTGATGAGACAAAAGTGAGCGACACCAGGGGAACCTCAAAGTGTGATCTAGGGAGATCTCAAAGCAGGGTGTGCAGGACCCTTATAATAACTTAGGCCTGCCACAGGACTGAGTCCAAGGTGGCGGGACCAGAATGTCTCCTGTGCCAACTCCAAGAACTGGGACTCTTCCTCTTCTGCCCTCCTTCAGTGAGCAAAATCCACACTGTGCCCTTGAAAAAGGACAAGAGGAAGCCACCAGATTCCACCTGGACTCAACAGCCTGGAAAGGGGTACAGAAGAAGAAAAACACAGAAAACAGTGGGCTCAGAGCCACACCCAGGCTCCCGCTGATGACTAGGGACACTTGGGAGGCATCAGGGTTCAAGGGAGCACTCCTGGGCCTCTGCAGCCCCAAGTCACCCAAGTCCAGCCTCTCCAACAGGACAGCTGAGAATGCGGCTATTTATACCAGCCATGACATGGACAAGATTGGGGAGACACACACTGCCCTGTGGCCATATCTGGGCATGACTGAGGACACATGGGGCTGCCAGGAGGACAGGGTCCAGGTGGCACATCTGTCCTGGATGTCCTTGAGCCTCACAGTGTCCCCATGAAACCCCCATGACAGGCTTCAGGACATCTGCCCTCTCCCCTTCTTGCAGTTAAAAATACTCCGGTTCCCTGTCCCATTTATCCTGACTCTGTCCTCCACGGACACATGCACCTGCCCACATGTTTGCCCAGCACCAGGAAGAACCACTATTCTAACCTTAGATCCTGGTTTGGCCTCAGAGAAGGAGATCTTAGACTTTGAACCACTTTGTGAGGGCCCCTCTTGGCTCGGGAACAGACCACAATCTCTATCTCAGCACTCCAGCATTAGGGCTTCCTCTTTGCTGTTCTCTCCAGGCATACAGAGCAAGCCTGGGAGGCTGTGTGCCACTACCTCTGTCCCTTCCCATCGCCCACAGCTGTAACCTGTGGGGCTGTCCACCCAGCAGGTAACTGACCTGCCCCCAAGCCTCAGCAGACCTCTGGGGACCTGAAGACACCAGCCCACATCACAGCTCTTGCAGCGTGCAGTGGCCACCTCACAGAACGCCCACCCTGCCCACAGATCTGAAGATCTGTTGTAGGTGGCCTCTCATCTCTGCCCTTGAGACACGCAGCCCTGCATGTGCCTGCGGCTGCGGCTGCACTGCAGCACCCAGCAGCAGCTCTGCAGCAGCCTGCACCATTCCAGCTGCTGTAGCTGCTGCCCCTCCCACAGGCTCAGCGGCACCAGCAGGGGCACAGCCAGCCTTGAACTGGGAGTGCTAAGGACACCTTCCTCACTGGTCACCTACCAGCCTCCTCAGAGAGCCTTCCAAACCCAGAGTCTGGTTGGCCAGGTCCTGAGCCCAGGAAGGAGCAGCCAGCCCAGCATCTGAGAACTGCCTGTACTGACCCTTTGCTCCCTTCCCTGCCTGAAAGCCATGCCTGTCCCTTTCCAAGTGTGATTCACCCAGGACACTGGGCTGAGCTTGCTGGCTAGGTAAGGATACTAGGCAAGACTGAAGTTCTTTATAAAGCTGGGTATTCTCATCCTACAGCCTACTTCTACCGGTCCACACCACACTCGAGTCCGGCCACCCCAAGGAGAGTGCCCTGCCCATGAACATCTAGCAAGGAGCAGCGCTGTGCTGTAGAGAGTGAGACTGTCTGCAATCAGAACTGCATGGCTGCTGAGTCAGCACAAAGCCTTGCAGAAGGCTGGTTACCTTTCAGCTAAGGTGGCAGCGATGAACGCAATTGTTCACACCTCCCTCACTTCTCACCAGTAATCTTCGTTACTGTGCCCTGGTCCTGAAAATTACTCAGGTCCCCTCCTTTTTTAAAATTGTAAAATTTTGGTGTGGGGGGTGGTATGCAGTTCTAACAATGTTCACTTTGGTTGACATAAACTATGGCAGCTAAAATACCCATCCTGCAGTCAATCTAACCATGCTTGATAGTGGTTTATTTAATGCTACTCTTCACATGAAGCCAACAATTCTAAATGAGATTGCTGAAGAGCCGTGGCGGTGCCTTACCAAGCCGGCACACACTCCGAAAGGCTTGTGCCATAAAACGCTTTATCCCACTTGAGGTATGGTGCTATTCATGTAGCTGGAGTCAGGATCAGACCCCCTCTTTAGAGAGGTTGGCACAATTTACTTGGTCACCTGGCTGAAAAACAGTAATTGGTCACACACAGACACACAGACACACACAGACACAGACACACACACACACACACACACACACACATACACACACACACACCTCTCACTTAGACACTCCTGAGGCTCAATCCAATCTGCAGACTGTCCAGTCCTAGTCAAGTTCAGGTATGAACCACAACAAGGGAATATGCTGCTCACTGGGTCCCCTAAACCTAGGAACCACAACAAGGGAATATGCTGCTCACTGGGTCCCCTAAACCTAGGAAACCCGTGATTCTTGAGTCTCTTGCTCTCTCAGCAGAACTGAGGCCCCCATCAACTCTGTTCATGGCACAAATGTTTCCAGCACATTCTGGAAGCTGAAGAGCTCAATTAGCACAGCCCTGTTCCAGTGAAAGAGGAATTCAAGACTCCTCAGAGTCGCTTGCTCTTTTGAGTCCCCAACCTGCTAGGTCAGACCCAGGTGGAAAGGTATTCCCTTTGCCCCATAGGCCTCATCTGGTCTCCCTGATCTCTTAGAATCCCGGCCTTTGCCTGCATGTGGAATGATACCCAAACTAGGAAAGTCCTTGTGGGAATCCCAGTTCCAGCCCAGCCCAGCCTGCCTCAACTCTCCTTCCCATGTGAAAATTCAAAGACACCATAGACTACCATCTTGGCCAACTGCATACCATGATGGCATGGGGTCCCTCCCCGGTCCATCCTGTGAAAACTCATGCACCAGACTTCACAACCACAGGCCCTCACAAGTGTCACCAGGGAATCAGCCCTCACACAAACTGGGGGTGGGGGCAGACATGCAGGGAGGTGTCTGGGGTACTCATTTCTAATTCAGCAGGTGGAGAGCGCTGAGGTGATTTATAACCAAGGAGGCTGAGGCTCGCTCCCTGCAAACTCTAGTTTTACTGCTCAGTCAAACCTAATTCCAAAACACTAAGGCTTTTATTTAAACACCACATCCTGCAATAAAGCCTTAATGTATGACAGACATATCTAACGGAAGACAGTGGTGTGCCTGTGGCCTCTGGCAACCTCAGTGGCCACACACCGGCTGTTTACCTCCCTGTGGCCGGAGCTAGAATCAAGTAGGGCATAGATGACCTTCCGGGGTTATGGAGTGCTGACCACTCTGGGACCAATGACCATGAGGGAGGTGTTGCCAAGGACAAGGCTACCTTCTCATTGCCACACCCTCTGCACACATGGATCCAGAGATCAGGAGAAAATATGGCTTCCAGTAGGAAAACTCAAACATTGGGGTGGACTCTTAACTGTGGAGGCTCCATGCCCCTCCATTACAGTCACCTTTAGATCACCCAGGACGAAAGCCACCTGTGAGCTCAGATCTGCCCCTGGCATTTGGTCTGAAGATCCTCAGCCTGGCCTCAGCTGCTTGGGTCACCTAGCTGCCCAAGACCCAGCACTTAGAGCTGACAGAGGGGCCTGCCACTCCTCCCAATCACATTCCCTCCAAAGGTCATGGTGCAGGACACTCGAAGGCACCTGCTGCACATATCTGGCAGGGACAGCTGGCAAC